TTTAGGAAAGTTTAGGGCTTAACTGCTCATAGGGCACTTGGCAACAGTTGGTAAGCTCCAGAGAAAGGCATTCTCCAAAGGAGCCATTTATAATGAACAATGATTTAGCATTGGCTGAGCTGGTTGACATCTTGAAGATTATATAGCTTTATGCCTTGAGGAACTAACAGCTACCTGGGATCCAATGCATTGCACTGTGTCAGATTGAGTTGATGGGTAAGAGTTTTGTGTTTTGAAAGGAAACATGTAATTATAGCCCCAAGGAATAAAAGAAACTTAAAATCACATTATCACCCACTCTTCTAGCCACTCTAGGCTTGCTTGTTCTCAGCATGCCAAACACTAATTTCAACCTTGTAGAAGTAAAAGTATTATGGAGGCTTTCCCATATATTTAAATATATTTAAATTAGTAAAGTCATACTATATGTTAACTTTTTCATTCTAAATTTCCCCAATTAATATAATAATACAAGAGTTTTATGGTTTTTTTTACATTTTTATTGTTTATTATTATTAGTTACATTTTATTAACTCTGTATCCCAGCTGTATCCCGCTCCCTTTTTCCCTCCCAATCCCATCCTCCCTCTCTCAGCTTCTCCTTGCCCCTTTCCAAGTCCACAAATTGGGGAGGACCTCCTCCCTTTTCATCTGGCCCTGTTTTATCAGGTATCTTTGGGGCTGGCTGCAAAGTCCTCCTCTGTGAGTCTTATGTTTTTGTTTTTGTTTTTTTGCTTTTACATTTCATTGTGTAAATAATGTTTTCAGGTCTGAAAAGTTTAATTAAAATGTTTTAAGAACATTACATTAAGGGAATTTATAAAAATGTGGACTATCTATCTGGTCCAAAATAAAAATCAGTATTAAAATAATTCTTGGAGCTATGCTGTATAAAATACTAATTTTAATAAGGATTTTTGAATATGATATGAGAAGATGACCAGAATAAGTTTAATGAGTTAACACAAAATACATCTTGGAAAACACTATATAGAGGACACACTGCCACTGTTCATACTTAGGTCAATTCCTATGATGTTTTAAAAAATTATAAAACTATTTTTATTGTTTCTTTTTATTAACAGAGTCTCATGCAACAAGGCTGGCCTAGAACTTGCTACATGGCAGAGGGTGGTTTTGAGCTTCTGTTAGTCCTGTTTTCACTTCCCAAATGCTGATATTTCAGCCATGCAAAACTCTGCCAGGATAAAACACCTCACTGAGAGTTACACAGCATTCCAGGTGATATGCAATATTTTATACACATTTCTCCAATGTCTGATTGATATGATTTCTATTATACCCAGTTTTTTATAATTACATATATAATATTTCTATAAAGTATTTCTCTTTAAGAAATATTTACCTTTGCATTTATTTTTAAGATAAGTATTGGAAAGTTGTAGAATAAAGGTACAACAGTTTGTAATTCTCTAAACCAGTGATCTTCCTAAAGTTGTGAGCATTAATATGGTACCTCATGTTGTGGTGACCCCACATAAAATTATCTCGTTGCTGCTTCATGACTGTAACTATTCTACTGCTCTGAATGATACAGTGAATATCTGATGTGCGGTCCTCTAAGTGAACCATGACCCGTAAGTGAGAACGCTGTCTTAGTCACTGCAGAGTCACTCTGTCACCTTGAACACATGCCCTGCGCTCTCTCTGGATGTCTGCAAGAGCTGACTCAGAGCGAGAGATGCGGTGATGATCCAACATAGGCTCACAAATGTATGAACATTACTTCTTGAATAATAAAAATAATAAAAAATTGTGGAAATTTTACGTTTAGCATAGAATATATGAAATGCATTTTGTCATACATATGCTTTCTTTTCATTTTTCAAACAATTTTTAATTTTAATTTTTATTATTTTTTACAATTTATTCACTTTGTATTCTGGCTGTGGTTGTCTCCCTTGTCTCCTCCCAATCTCACCCTCCTTCCCTCTTCTACCCCTATGCCCTTGCCCCAGTCCACTGATAAGGGAGGACCTCCTCCCATTCAATTTGACCCTAGCCTATCAAATCTCATCAGGACTGGCCGCATTGGCTTCCTCTCTGGCTTGGCAAGGCTGCACCCCTTACCTCTAGGGAAGAGATAATCAGATATCCTGCCACTGAGTTCATGCCAGAGACATCCCCTGCTCACCTTTCTAGGGAACCCACTTGGAGACTGAGTCTATGGGCTACATCTGAGCAGAGGTTTAATATCCTCTCCAAAAGACACACATGGTATATAATCACACATAAGTGGTTTTTAGACATATAACATAGGAAAAACATACTAAAATCTGTAGTCCTAAAGAAGCTAAACAGCAAAAAGACCCTAGGGAAGATGCTCAGTCCTCATTCAGAAGGGCAAACGTGATAGACTTCCATAGCAGGAGAAGACAGGGAACAGGACAGGAGCCTACCACAGAGGGCCTCTGCAAGACTCTACCGATCGAGGGATCAAAGCAGAGGCTGAGACTCATACCCAAACTTTGGGCAGAAGGCATGGAACTTTATGAAAGAAGGTAGAGATAAAGAGACCTGGAGGGGGCAAGAGTTCCAGAAGGAGACCAACAGAGCAAAACAAAACAAAACAAAACAACAACAAAAAAACTGGGTCCTGGGGGCCCTGCAGAGACTGATACCCTAACCAAGGACCGTGCTTTTTTTCTTTTTGGAAAATTTATGTCTGAAAATCAGAATGTATTGCCCATGTTCTATGATTTATTTGATTTTTTTAAATCCAGAGGCAATGCATAGTGTAATATATGGGTTATTGGTGAAAAATTATACTACGTAGATTAAAAATACATAGAAATAGGAGTGATTCATCTTTTCCTAGATAGATGATCTGTAAAGACAAAAATGTCAGGACATGACTTTTGTAGGCTATCGTCACAGACATTTTTATAGTCTTTATATAGGAAAACATGTACATATATATAACTATATGCATACATATATGGATCTAACAAATATTTCCTTAGTAACTAATAGATACTTGTTTATGGTAATTAGCACATACGTGTGTATAAACATGTTACTTTATCTTACCTAGCAGTCAACTCCTTTATGTATTTGTTTTAAAGTTCTTTTTAAAAGCTTTTAAAATAAATATTTTCTTTATTAGTAAGTTATTATGTATTTAAAAACCTAAATAAAGTTTTTTTCTCCATTTATTGAAACTGTAAATTTATTGAAGATGATTATGCTAAATTGACTGCCTGATAAGAATATATAAATAAATATCATTTTTATATGTAATATATATAGCCATATTTATGCTGCCCCATAATACTCTACAGTTCCTTTTGTCTCTCCCAGTACTCTCTCCTTCCATGTTCCCTATGTTCTCCCTGATTTCCTCCTGTTCTTGTTCCCACCCAGCCCTGTCCACCCGCAATATTTATTTTATTTCCCCTTCCCAGGGAGATTCATGGATATCCTCTTGAGCCCTCCTTGTTACTTAACCTCTCTGGGTCTGTGGATTTGTGGCTGATTATCCTTGACTTAATAGCTAACATAATCATTATTTATATTTATAATATATATTAAATATGCATATCATTATATATGTGTCACATATAATGGCTATAATTATATAGACTAAACTCATTATGTTTTTATGTTTAGGAATATAAGTATATACATTCCATATGTATTTGCATATTGCATTCTGTGTGTATGTGTATGCGTAAAACAACACTTAGAAAAAGAGGCCATGATAAAGACATTTATGGAAAACATAAACTCTGAAGGATAAACAATATTTGTAACCAATGAACTATCTGGAAAGTGAATAATACTTTTCTTAAAAATAATTAGCATTAAAGTAACATTTAAAATATATCAAAAATATTCACTACACTTTGCCTGTGAAAGCTTCATCATATTTCTCATAGAGCTGGTAGCATGGATAAGTGATTGGGTAGCTGAAGGTGATTGGGCTCTTTGATTGGGCTCTTTCCATGGACTGGGAAGCATCTGTATTCTTATAAACAAAAATGTATAAAGTAGGAAGATTCATCACGTATTTCCTCATCGCATACTATGTGGTAGACATTGAAGGTGTTACGATAAATGCCATACTAACATACCAAGAAAATAGATGTATATGGTATATATGTATGGTTATGTTATGGAGTAAATATAGCCTTCAATAGTACATGTTGCTAAAAATCCCTGCTTATCAAAGATATAGCATAGTCATGTTTATTAAAATATTAATTTTTTATCCTTTGAATTTTATACACATACACAATGAAACATGATAATCCACTAAATCTAATTAGCGTTAGCATTTGTTTATGGTTGTGAGATCATCCACTGAAGCAAGGGAAATCTTTATTTCCCTTGTATAGCCACACATTAAAAAAATTCTCTTTTCTCCAGCAACAATTGCCAATAATTCCCCAGTACAGGATGGGGACTTCCTTTCTGTATGGCAGACATTTGTCTGGTTGTGCTTTTGCAGTTTCTATGGAGGTAACTATGGCTGGGGTGAGTTAATGAGTGTGATAGTCATTAAACCATGTCTTTCTTTCACTGTCACATTCATGTGATCAAATGTAAATTCAGAAAGCAATAATTAAGTTTTATGTGGCTGAGCACTTTTTTAGTTTATGAAATGTGTCTGATCATATGGCGGTACACAGACTAATGGGAGAGTTCAGATACACAGATTCCAGGAGCAACACAGAAACATCACATGGACTTTGGAAATAGAAGAATCTATATCTAGATCAGCACTTTTTCTTTAAATAGTAATTATTGCCCTATAGATATGTTGTAACTGATAGTATTAGATTTGAGGAGAGCATGATAAGGAGGTAAAAAGGAATGGAAGCAACTACTGAGCTAGAAGAATATAAGGAATGTGATCCACAGTTACAGAAAGCACTATTTCTGCACTATGAATATCATACTACAATGAATTCAGGATTAATGATCTACCTTTATGTTTTTGTAGGGATTTCAGGTCTTGGGAAGGCTTAATATCCTGAATGGAGTTCTACAATTCTCCCAGTAATGTGACTGAATTTATTCTCTTGGGTTTCACACAGAATCCACGCTTGCAGAAAGTACTGTTCATTGTCTTTTTGTTTGTTTTCCTTTTTTTACAGTGTTAGCTAATCTGCTCATTGTCCTCACCATTTCCTTCAGCCCTACCCATTCAGCACCTATGTACTTCTTTCTCACTTACTTGTCCTTCATAGATGCCTTCTACACCTCTGTCACCACCCCCAAAATGATAATTGATCTGCTCTACCAGAGGAAAACAATATCCTTGGCTGGCTGTCTGACCCAGCTCTTTGTGGAACACATTTTGGGAGGATCAGAGATTATCCTTCTCATTGTTATGGCATATGACCGCTACGTGGCCATATGCAAACCTCTGCATTACATGACTATTATGCGGCAAGGCCTCTGCAGACTACTGGTGATGGTAGCCTTGATTGGAGGGATCCTGCATGCCACCATGCAAATATTTTTTATGATCAATCTGCCATTCTGTGGTCCCAATATCATTGATCACTTCATGTGTGATCTCTTCCCATTGTTGAAACTTGCCTGCAGAGACACACACAGACTGGGCATCATAGTGGCTGCTAACAGTGGGGCTATGTGTTTGCTCATATTTATGATGCTTCTCATCTCATACATAGTCATCCTGCAATCCTTGAAATCACATAGTTCTGAAGGCAGGCACAAAGCCCTCTCCACCTGTGGCTCTCACTTCACTGTGGTTGTTCTCTTCTTTGTGCCTTGCATATTTACCTACATGCGTCCTGTGACCACCTACCCTGTGGACAAACTGGTGACTGTGTTCTTTGCAATCCTTACTCCCATGTTAAATCCCATCATTTATACAGCAAGAAACACAGAGGTAAAGAAAACCATGAAGAGTTTGTTGAAGAGGAGTGTGACTTAGCCTTTTCTAAATGACAAGAAGGTAGTGATGTGTCAAAACAAGTAGTATTATGTTTGTGGTAAACTGTGGAAGAGGACTAACAAATTGCATAGATTATTAATATATAGGAAAAACAAAACTTCCTATAATAGTGTTTTGGGGCACTTAATAATGAATAGACCCCTCTTTTGTGCCTTTAATAGCTCTAAATGTGTGTTTTCAAGGTTCAAAAATTGATATTTATAGATTTTGTATTTCCAACAGAAAATACCAACTATACAATTTTAATGATCCTGGAGTTATGTTTTTCTTTAGAGATTCACTGTTACTTCTTATGTTTCTTTCTCTCTCTCTCTCTCTCTCTCTCTCTCTCTCTCTCTCTCTCTCTCTAGTTTCCTCCCAGTCCCACCCATCCTCCCTCTTCTCTCCCTATGCCCTTTCACCAAGTCCCCTGATAGGGGAGGACCTCCTTCCCTTCTATCTGACCCTAGCCTATCAGGTCTCATCAAGGCTGGCTGCACCATCTTTCTCTGTGGCCTGGCAAGGCTGCAAAGTGGTACAGGGGCTGTATCTGACATGAACGCAGTGGCTGTTGCTTTGATCATCATTATTTTCTTAATTGCTTCATACATTTTTACTTGGGGAGCACTTGTTTTTCTGTAATGCTTTAAATAAATTTTGCATAGTCTGTGGTAATGCAAAAAAATAGATAAGTGTTTAGCTCTGTTCTCCATTTTTTAATTGGATTACTTGGTTTGTTGCTTTTCAGCTTCTTTAGTTCTTTATATATAGTGGATATTAGCCCTCTGTCAGATAAAGGGTTGGTGAAGATTCTTTCCCAATCTGTAGGCATTAGTTTTGTTTTGATGACGGCGTCCTTTGCTTTACAGAAGCTTTTCAGTTTCATGAGGTTCCATTGATTGATTGTTGATCTTGGAGCCTGTGCTGTTGGTGTTCTGTTCAGGAAGTTGTCTCCTGTACCAATAAGTTCTAGGGTCTTCCCCACTTTTCCTTCTAACCAATTTAATGTGTCTGGCTTAATGTTGAGGTCTTTGATCCACTTGGACTTTAGTTTTGTGCAGCGTCATAAGTATGGTTCTATTTGCATTTTTCCTACATGTAGGTATCCAGTTAGACCAGCACCATTTGCTGAAGATGTTGTCTTTTTCCACTGTATGGTTTTGGCATCTTTGTCAAAGATCAGGTATCCATAAGTGTGTGGGTTTATTTCTGGGTCTTCTGTTTGGTTCCATTGATCCACCATTCTGTTTTTATGTCAGTACCATGCAGTTTTTATTACTGTTGCTCTATAGTACAGCTTAAGATCAGGGATGGAGATACCTCCAGAAGAGAATTCTTGATAGAGGAATAACGAATTGCAGAGAAACACTTAAAGAAATGCTCGACCTCATTAGCCATCAGGAAAATGCAAATCAAAACGACCTTGAGATTTCACCTTACACCCATCAGAATGGCCAAGATCAAAAACTCAAGTGACTCCTGTCATAAGTTCAATGCACATCCCATTTGTCTTTCTAAATGAGGATTGATCACCTTCGCCTGTGTCCACTTTCTTGATTATCTTCTTTAGGTGTGTAGATTTCATTATGTTTATCATATCTTGTAGGTCTACCACAAAAGGCATCTGAAAGACTCTACCTAGCAGTGTTTCAAAGCAGACACTAAGACTCATAACCAAACCCTCGGCAGAGTGCAGGGAATCATATGAAAGGGAAGTTAGTATGATATGGAAATGATAGGAGCTCTACAAGGACCAAATATATCCGGGCACAGGGTCTTTTCTGAGACTGACACTCAACCAAGGACCATCTATGGATATAACCTAGAACTTCTGCTCGGATGTGGCCCGTGGTAGCTCAGTAACCAAGTAGTTTTCCAAAGTAAGGGGAACATGGACTATTTCTAACAGGATCTCAAGGGCAGGCTGTTTGACCCCCCCCCCCAGGGGAGGAGCAGTCTGTTAGGCCACAGAGGAGGACTTTGCAGCCAGCCCTGAAGATACCTGATAAAACAGGGTCAAATGAAAGGGGAGGAGGTCCTCCCCTAACAGTGGACTTGGAAAGGGGCAGGGAGGAGACCAGGGAGGGAGTGTGGGGTTGGGGAGGGAATGAGGGAGCAGGATACAGCTGGGACACAGAGTTAACAAAATGTAACTAAAAAGAAAAATAAAATTAAAAAAAAAACAAAAAAACAAAACAAACAAACAAAAAAAAAAACTCAAGTGACAACACATGCTGGAGAGGTTGTGGAGAAAAGGAAACCCCCTCCATTGCTGGTGGGAATGTCAACTTGTACAATCACTCTGGAAATCAATCTGGCGCTTTCTCAGACAAATAAGAATAGCACATCCTCAAGATCCAGCCATACCACTCCTAGGCATATATACAAAAGAGGCTCAAGTACACAATAAGAACATTTGCTCAACCATGTTTGTAGCAGCTTTATTTGTAATAGCCAGAAGCTGGAAACAACCCAGATGCCCCTCAACTGAAGAATGGGTACAGAAATTATGAGATATCTACACAATGGAATATTACTCAGCAATGAAAAATAAGGAAATCATGAAATTTGTAGGTAAATGGTGGGACTTGGAAAGGATCATCCTGAGTGAGCTGTCCCAGAAGCAGAAAGACACGCACAATATATAATCACTCATATAGACATATAATATAGGATAAACCTACTTAAATCTGTACATCTAAAGAAAGTAATCAAGAGGGAGGACTCTGATTAAAATGCTCAATCCCCATCCTGAAAGGAAAAGAGGATGGACATCAGAAGAAGAAGAAAACAGGAAACAAGTTAGGAACCTGTCACAGAGGGCCTCTGAAAGCCTCTGCCCTGCAGATATCAAAGCAGATGCTGAGACTTATGGCCAACTGCTGGGCAGAGTGCAAGGAATCTTATGTAAGAAGAAGGAAATAGTAAGCTGGAGAGGACAGGAACTCCACAAGGAGAGCAACAGAACCAGAAAATTTGAACACAGGGGTCTTTCTAGAGACTCATACTCCAACCAAGTACCATGCATGGAGATAACCTAGAACCCCTGCACAGATGTAGTCTATGGCATTTCGGTGTCCAAGTGGCTTCCATAGTAATGGGAAGAGAGACTGTCTCTGACATGAACTGATTGGCCTGCTCTTTGATCACCTCCCCCTGAGAGGGGAGCAGCCTTACCAGGCCACAGAAGATGACAAGGCAGCCACTCCTGATGAGATCTGATAGACTAAGATCAGAAAGAAGGAGAGGGGGACCTCCCCTTTCAGTAGACTTGGGGAGGGTCATGCGTGAAGAAGGGGGAGGGAAGGTGGGATTAGGAGGGAAGAAGAGAGGGGTTTATAGGGGAATACAAAGTGAATAAAGTGTAATTAATAAAAAATGTTTTAAAAGGAAAAAATAGATAAGTGAAAATCAGATATTTGAGGAATAAAAGCAACTTTGTTGACTTCTTAACTTCATTTATATCAGTTACCATTTATAGAAAAATAATAAAAAGTAGTGCAAGCAAGTATACAAAAAGAAGTATCGATTTCTAATCTGTCTCCTTTATTCCCTCAGGAAAAAATATGATGTAGAAATTTGAAATTACTCTTAAGTTCTTCTTACTGTCTCAAATATTTTCATGGCTCAGTTTTTTTTAATATAAAGCATAGGTACTTTTTCTTCCTTGTTAGAATTAGAGTAGTCAATGTAGCAACATGAATAAAGATTCTTCTATTTAATCATACTAAAATATTCCAAACAATTTTCTCATATAACAAATGTATATATAACTATGTTTCATATGTTTATATTAGATATGTTATTATCTATCAGACACATTCACTTACGCAGATGATATAAACCAAATTCTAAACCTATCATGTTAAAGATACTAACTATATCTATCTTACAAAGAAGAAAATTGAAGCTGAGCAGGCTACTAATATATTTTCTTCAAATCACACATCATGTCAACTGCTTGATTTAAATCTAGTTTCTAATTCTCTGTCCTCCATTTGTGAATGAAAATTCAGTAATTTTTGTAATGCTTATACATAAGGATAAGGAATTGATACATAGGCTACGCGATTCCCTTTGCTCTTGGAGGAAAGTGTGTTTTTCCTTCCTTCTTTTTTTTTCTTCCTTCCTTCCTCCCTCCTTCCATTCCTCATTTTCTTCCTTTCTTTCTTTTTTCTTTTTATTCTTGGTAGTCTCTTCTCATTTGCTGCAGTATAGTTTAACAGGAATACTTCTCAGTGACCATGGGAATCAACAAGTGTTACATATTACTAACAACAAAAACAAAACCCTTTATGAACCCAAGAATTCAAGGTACTTTCAATATATCATTCTCATTAATCCCTCCCAAAAATTTGGAAAGGGGCAGGGAAGAGACCAGAGAGGGAGTGTGGGGTTGGGGAGGGAATGAGGGAGCGGGATACAGCTGGGACACAGAGTTAACAAAATGTAACTAAAAAGAAAAATAAAATTAAAAAAATATCCTTTTTCTCAAATTCACTGTTTAGTGAGATATTTCTTTTATAATTTAAACATACAGTAATATTGGATCTTGAAACACTTGTTTTTGGAGTGTGACTCTCTAATCTACCTTAGTGTTTGAATATATCAAGTTAATTATCAAAATGACATTTTCCCACAAAGATCAATTTTGGGATATGACAATCCGCACTTAATGTACTTCTGGTGAGAATTAAACATATCAACAGACTCTAAAACAAATTACTGTGGTTCACTTTGTCTTATGATTAGATAGAAATTATGAAAAGCCAGGAATAAGGAGCAGTATTGAGAAAATGTCTATTGATTAAAGTCTTTCCAAGTAGAAAACCAAGGCCAATAACTATGTTCTAAAATGTATATCAACTTTTTAGTAGATGAGTGAGGAGATGAATTAGACAAATTAAAAGCGTAGTTAGAAATTTTAAAAAACTGAAGAGATGCAAGCAAGTCAGATAGGCTCTGTGGATGAACTTTTGCTGGCTGCTGAATAGTTTCAA